TTGATTATAATCAGAACTGATCTTTGGCTGCACTAAGGTACATTGAGGATATTCTTGTAGAAGCTGTGGTCCCATTCGCTCACTTTATTGAGAACCACATCGAGTTAATGCATTAACGCTCGACCGAATTTAGCTCGAGTTGTTACCCATTACTTTGAGGTTGTGGGGTTTACCACAACGAATTGGCCGGCAAGTTCTCCTTACCCGAATCCTATAGAACACGTATGGGGCATGATAAAGAGACAAGTTAGACCATTTTCGCCGCTTCCAACAAGCGTTGAACACCTTCAAACCGCTCTTCTTGGAGAATGGGATTCTGTTTCACAAGATGAAATCCAATCGCTTATTTACCCGATACCTAGGAGACTTAGGACCCTCCGCAAGACTACAGGACGTAATACGTGTTACAAAGCATAAAACCATGTAATAAATTGTTAGTTAAATTTTAATCTATCACAAAATGATTTTCCAGTGTTTTTGTGCATTTACTTTCTAAACATCTTAATTAAATAATTGTTTTTAAAACATAAATTCCTGATATCATTTAATTGGTTTACATTTAAATAAGTATGTTAAAATTATTACAACGAAAAAATGTATATAGTTTGAAATAAACAACAAAATACGAGTGTCAGTTTTTTGACATTAGAGTATTTCTATTGGCAAAACACCGTCCTATTTTCTGTCTTGCTTCCTATAACAACTGAATGATTTTTGCATTTTTATTCGCTAAATAAATACTGACAGAACGTTTGGCATACATTATGTTTAAAAACGATTTACTACTGTGCTATCGTTTTTATATAAACACATAAAATTCATTTAGAAGATATTTTTTCTTCCATTGAGAAGAAGGGTTGCTCTGGAAAATGATTGTGCCCTCTACATACATTTTAATCCTTAAGTTCTATCTATCTGAGAGGTACTATAGAGTGTAAGTCGTTTCCTGTCTTTTCTCTTTTCCAGAAGTCCTTACCTGAGACATAGGATTGCATCAATTACAGTAATCAGTATATTACTGTTGATATCCTTCCCCATTTTTACTCTATGTAACAAACGCTAAGGACACTGTTCTTCTATCCTCCAGCTCCGACCAAGTTTTATCTCACCGAAAGTTCAAGATACACCTATATTGTTTAAAACAATGTTTAAACAATTTTGTGATACACTCAACATTACAAATTCCTGAAATATTAACTTCAACATCATTGCTTTAGCTCATCAAAAATCAACTCGAATGTCTGCCACTAAGTTCCAGTTTTGAAAGTCAAGATTTCTTAACTATTAATTTGTTTAGATGTTTTGATTAAATTATTCAAGTGATTTCTATGAAAGTCATTTTAAATGTTAACGGTACACATTTGCAATTGCATTTACATAAATCTACTAGACATTTACATAATGAATATGCAATCTACGTAATATTAATATATCGTGATAAATCCATCGAACGTTGATGTGGTTGCATTGATAATGTTACTCGAAAGTAAAATTTTTCATAGCGCCTTGAAATTTGACGTTATAATAAAAACTGCAGTGCGCTCGATTTTTTAGGGCGCCTGAGTTGAATTATAAGATCTTGACAAGTTTCACATAAAGGTTGCTGACTCTGGATATATTTTGAACCTTTATTGCTGCATACTTTCTAATTTACCAAGTAGTTGATAATGTGTAGATAAACTGCTTTTCATCATAATCGTTTTATTTCACTTGATCAAAGTGAAATGTTGTTAGGTAATCTATCGAAAAGTATGTAGGTCAGACTGAATCTTTTTACCACGTTCATACAAATTCATTATTTCATAGGCATTCTTTTCTGGATTCTTATATTCTTTCGTTTTTCCGCTTCACAATATCTTCATTCAAAAACTCGCAAGTGTTGATTAGTTCTACTCTTGGTTCAACCAACATCATAAACCTTCATAGTTTTTCTATTAGGTGGGTGGGGGTTTAAAAACAAGAATTAAGATAGATTAAAGAAACAACTCTTTACCAAAAAAACTTCAATCATCATTAATTTAAATTAAACGACAAAGAAAATAATGAAAGAGACCCTTTTTCAAATGCTCCAAATGTTTATAGCAACAAATTAAAATAATGTATATTTACAATTAACTCAATTCGTTTTACTACAATTAACTCATTTCCAAGGTAAATGGTTTTTTTTTTAGTAAAATCGCTATATAAGACAAAATAATTTTATTCAAAGTATTTACCTTCATTTTCTACACATTTTTCCCTACGCGTGACCAACTTTTTATGCCAAAACTGAAGTGTTCTAAGCTTTGAAATTAAACAAAATCTGAAAACGCTTTTTGGATGTGAACATCATTTTCAAAAACTTTCCTTTGACGAAGTCTAAATTCATAAACAGGTTAAAATCTGTTGGAGACAAGTCTGGAGAATAAGGTGGATGTTGAAGTACTCGTAGCCAAGCTTTTTCAATTTGTTTAAAGTATGTTTTGTAACATGAGGCCTGGCGTTGTCGTGGAATAATAATATAAGACCTTTCAGATTTACCAATGCAAGTTGTTTTTTGAGTAATTGTTTATGCTTGTCGTCTATTTCCGTGCTGTACGATGTAGAGGTAATAGCCACGCCTCTAGGGAAAAAAGAGTAGTTAATCATTGTTTTGGGAGTACATTCAGTTTTGGTATATGTGCCGGTCTTTCGTCGGTGTTTACCCACTGCCCTGACCAACGCTGGATTGAAAAATGCAATCCATTGTTCATAGCAAGTGATTATTCTTTCAAGACAAGGTTCGGTTTTTTGCCTGGCGAGCAATGAAACGCATGTCTCAAGGTACTTTAACTGCTGTCGCTCAGTGAGCTCATGAGTGCCCTATAAATCAAGCTTTTGGACTTTTCCCGTGTCCCCTAATTGTCTTGACACGGTAACTGCACTTGCATTTATTTGTGCTGCGAGTCCTCTGACTGTTTGATAGTGGTTTTCATCCACCTGAAGCTTAAGGACATCGTGGTCAATTAAATTCGGAGGTCTTCCGCTGGGCTCGTTTTCCAATTCGGTATTCCGCGAATGGTCCGTTCATTTACACTCCCTTCCCCAAACGCCTTACTGACGTTTCTTGCAGCCTCAGCTGCCTAATGACCAAGTTTAAACTCGTAAAGAATGTGACACGAAAATCGCGTGTTTCCATATTATTTGGAGATATACTAAAAAGTGTGTAATGGATTGGGGATCACCATTATAAACAAAAGTGGAGGATTAATAACTGATTTATTATAACAGGTAAACAATTGGAAGTGAACAGGAGAAAACCGCTATATCCTCTCTGAAACAACCCAATACAAATAGTCGAAGTTTATCCTTCCACGTCTCGATTATACATGTTTGACTGTTACACGCCAACTTCTCCTACAGTAACTTCGCCCCCGGACGCCTCCTTGTGTCACCCGGAAGTATTTATTCCTGATGACATACTATCTTCTTAGGTTTAATAATGTTTGATAAAGGGGACTGTATGGGTTTAAAATTAAACTAAAATAAAAAGAATTATAAAATAAAAAGGAAAAAAAACACACATCCGGTGACGATAGTCCAGCTACCTCAACTGTGGTAAAGGGGGATGCAAGGAGGAAAATGGTCGAAAAAGACAGGAAAAGTCGGGACGGGGGACCTTCACCAAGCAGATGTCTCAGGAACCTCACCAACCGGAGCGATGACGACGATAAATTCATAAAATGAAGACAATAAACGAAATAAAATAAACTTTAAGCTGAATCACGATTTATAAAAAAGTACAATTACTCAAGACGACGACACGACGAATTCAAGCCTCGATCTGGCGGACGACGAGGCCGGAAACGTGGCGGGGGGTTTTCCGAAATCTTATCCGAGTAATCCTTACGGCGTAAACAAATAGTATTCTTGAAAAATAAAGATATCTCAAAACCTGTTTTGATTTTTGATGGTTTCAGCCTCTATTTATTTTTACCCGAATTTTATGTCCAAATTGTAGCCGATATACCAATCTTGGTTACACTGTACACTCATAAACCACCATCGACCACTAAAGAGAGAACTAAGCAAGTTTTATCGTGACGGAATTTGTTCTTTTCTTCAAATTTTTATTAAATAGCAGCACTTAGTTCAACGAAAAAGCTTGTAGTCGTTTGTTAATTTTATTTATTAAAACTTGTCCAAAATGCTTGCAACAATTTTCCCAAAATAAATAAAGCTTTTGAATTTTTTATTTTGAAGTGATCTATCAAGTTTTTAATTTAGAAAACAAAGAACAAACATTGAGATGAATTATACATAAATAACATAAACCCTTATTATAATAATCAGTAATATTATAATATACTAAATTTAAATAAATAAAAAAAATCTTTTTTTATATAAACATCTTATAAGTCGTTTTTGTAAATCCAAAACTAAAAATTTGCTTTTGTACAATCAAAAATTAATTAAAAATATATGAATTATACATTAACAATATAAACCCTTATTATAATAATCAGTAATATTATAATGTACTAAATTTAAATAAATTAAAAAAAAATTTTTTATATAAACATTTTATGTGTTGTTTTTGTAAATTCAAAACTGAAAATTTCCTTTTGTACAATAAAAAATTAATTCAAAAATAAAATGTAATACTCATACAATCAAAATATAATTATAAATCAAAATTTAATTTTTCTCTCTAATAACAAAACAAAATAGATTCCCCTCTTTTGAATGGGTATTTTTATGGCACACCGTTGATAAATGTGTTCTCTTATTTTGGCAGATGTTAACCGCGTACTACATAGGAGTGCACTCCTTTTCTTTTTTTCTCTCGATCCTGTGGGTCCAGGACGGCAGCGTTGCTTGACTTTGTCGTTACGTAACAAGCTCTTTAATAAAAATTTGAATGATATATATGATTTATGTTGAAAATTATATAATAATTATTCTTTTTATAATCCATTGTTTTATTATTGAATAATGTTTAAACGATGCAAACATCTCTGATTGTGTTTGTTTATGTCTAGGGAGGGTGAAGGTGGAGGAGAATAGGTACGAGACGAAAATGGACAGGTCGCAGTACTCGGGCTGCGGAGCAAGTTGGCCGACCCGATACCTTTTGGTGTTGATGCTAACCGTGTTCAGCGTTTAGTTCGTCGACCACCCGTTAGAGATCAGCACACTGAGGATTTCCAGCGGCGACTCACTCAAGTTCACGTTCTTCCCTCCATAAATTCGAATATTATGTAATACCGATGAACTTACATTTACTTCTTATTTTGTTTTTTCCAGTCTACTTCTTTTTATATTTTTGTTTATGAAATCCAGTACAAAACAACCTTTTGAGTATTTTGTTTGACTTGACCGAACGGATCGGTGCTAACAATGCCAAAATAATAAAGTTAACGCTTTCCTTCTTATAGTGGAAAATAACGATGTATATAATAAACCTGTACCCCCAAATTCTAATCTATGTATAGACGTGCTGTGTATATATTGTATTTGTATATAAAGACTGTTCAAAGAAATGTTTTCTCCTCCTTTGTTAGCATTTTCTTGTATTTGGTGTTTATTTGATAATTTAATCTTGAAAAGCAATGGTTGTGCATTGGGATTTTAATATTTATCATTTTTGTCTGTGTGAAATTATTATAATAAAAATGTGAACTTTAAAACTAATTTAAACATATGGGTTGCTTTGTATAGTGTTTGCCAACCAAATATCCAGTAGAAAGCCTATTCATTTTTTTTAGAGTAATAAAATAAAAAATAAAACGTTTTTTGTTTTGAAATTCCATATAATATTTGTAAATATAAGTTCCTCCTATATTACCTCATCAGTTTTGTTTATGGTGTAATAACTAAAATGTAAAATATTTAAAAATAACAATTATAGTGATGATGATGTGTTTATTATTTCACAACCAATTAGTTTTTACAAATATTTCTGACTGTTCCGAGATGCATCTTAGACTAGGTTAGGTGTGTGAAATTTAGTTCAGAAATACATGTATAATTACTTTAATTGTGTTTCATTGTTTATTTCGAATTGTGTGTACTGTCTGATGGAATTTTTTAAATTCACTTTGTGGAATAATTTTAGAAAAAATATATCATGTACTACAGATTTTTGTTTTTCTCTTTGAAATGGTCGTTTCAATGTTTTATTTTTATTCACTGATTTCGTGGTCCACTTGACCAATTAATATATTACAATTAATTAAGGTTTTTAGTTGGAATCAAAAAGTCAGTGGCATGAGAGTGATTCGAACCCGCTATCTTCGGCTAGATAAGCCGCTGCTCAACTTAATTGGTCAAGCGGACCACGAAATTAGTGAATTTAATGAATTTAAATTAAATATACTTCACTAAAGCTCTCCGTGGTCATTTCATTTGTCGCCGAGAATCCAATCCGATTACACGACATTTGAAAAATGGCAAAAAGGAGGGAAAATTCAAAAGGTGGAGTTGAGATGGAAGTCAGTGTCCGAGTGGATCGAGGTCACGATAGCTCAAGTGGTAGAGCAGCTGCTTATCTAGCCGAAGATCGTGGGTTCGAATCCCGCTCGTGCCATTTACTTTTTTATCTCAACTAACAACCTTAATTAATTGTTTTATTTATAGTAAAAAAATAACACCTTACAGCTTATTGAGTGCAACTGGGAGTTTGTTTGTGAATTTATCTGAGCACATTTTCTTTTAATGAATAAATGTTAAAACACATTAAACTACGCCTTATCCAATTTGAGAAGAGTGTATAAAAATGTTTAAGGTGAAATTCTTTCTTGTTGAGAATAAAATATAATACAATACACTTTATTTTTCAAGTAAGTTACGACAGTTACAATTACAAGTGTTTCCAGTTGCCGGAGTAAAAACAAAAGGGAATAGTAACATTTATTTAATAAAATAGTTAATATGAAATAGATAACATTAGATTGGTGAAAAAGTTTAGTTCGAAGTTTTTATATATTTTTTATATTCTTTAATCAGTTTATGCCTATATTTCCTTGCATGTCACGCATATTATCTTTTAAGAAGCCTGTTATGGATATATATTTTTATTAAATAAGGGATGTTTTAATGCTGTTTGCTGTACAATAGATTCTATTATATAACTACAACAATACTAATTACAGTATTGCATTTCGCATATTAAAACATAGACTGTTATTTTTTATGAACGAACTTGTATAAGATTCAATACTGGTTGAAATATCTAAGATAGAGGATCAGGTTTTATTGTTCTAGATATGTTATGCAGATTCTTATAAAACTATCTGTTATACTTACATTGAATTTGGATAATTACGTATTTCGTGATGCGAAGTGAAACCGATGAAATTCATACATGAAGAATATAATGTTGAACTCACTCTTCATTTCTTTTAGAAATTGTTTAACTAAAGCAATTATCTTTGAGTATACTTGAACTTGTGAATGCTTCCGCTTATTCACCGTTGAGATACATTTTTTATTTGATTACATGAAGAAATGTATTTACAAAATTTAATTTTAACTATAACTCTAGCTTATTTTTTCCCACCTTCGTTTCTTTGTTTCTCCTTCACTCACATCCATCCTTCACTATCTCTGTTTATGGAATATCTTTTTTCCTCTTAATTTTTCTCTCTCCGTCAGATATCTGTCAGTTCCTGCCATTCTCTCTCCTTCTTCCATTTTTTCAATCCTCACTTCTTCTCTATATATATCATCCTATCACTCTGTATTTAATCATCAATCGTTCTATTTTTGTGTTTAAGTGTATAATTTTGTCATCATTTTTACATCCTTCTACTCTTGAAACCACCTTACTCAATCTTTATCGGAATCTAAGTATGTAAATTTACGTATCCATTCATGTATCTTTTATTTTTTATCCACCATTGCTTTCACAATTATCTTATTGTGAGAGACCGAGAGAGGGTGAGAGACCGAGACAGAGAGAGAATTGTAGGCAGAGAGAGTGTGAGAAAGAGTGAAAGTGGGAGTGGAAAAAGTGACAGCCTGCCTTTCTCACTTACTCTCTCTCTCTCTTGCTCTGAAATGAAATGAAATGAAAATGTACTTTATTCAATGTGATTAGTTACAAAAAACTTAAGTTATAATAATAAAAACTCACTACAGCTATGGTTGACAAGTCTGCCGGAAAAACGGGCAAAACTTTTTTTTCTTATTATTATTATTATTACTTTTTAATAAACAAACACATGAAACTTACTATTATTAAATTTATTTACACTTTATTTTCTCAATATATTCTACTCTCTCGCTCTATCTCTGTCTCTTTCTTTCATTCTTTCTCCCTATCTCTCACATTATAACTATTTTATGTCATTCTGCATAATTTGTACTCACTCATCACTGTCTCCGTGCTATGCCTCTCCCTCCAATCCTTCTGTCTCTCTCTCTCTCTCTCTCACACCCTCTCTCTCTTTCTCACTCTTGAACTTTTTTCTTTTTCACGCTCTCACTTTCTCTACTCCCTCTTTCACTCTTCCTCACATTCTCTCTGCCCCTAATTCTCTCTCTGTCTCAGTCTCTCACCCTCTCTCTTTTCTCTCCACATCTCCATGTTATCCACGTTAAATATTAATATCTCAAATCAATATCTCACTTAAATACTCACACGCGCACGACGCCCCCTACCCAAACAAACTCTCTACATGTCATCTTTATCTCCCCGCTGTATTATTTTATATTCTGTCTTCTCTCTCCCTCTCTCTCATTTTCTTTACCTGTCTTTTTGTCTCTCATTTCGTTCTTCTTTCTTTCGTTGTCCCTTTCTCTCTTTGTCTATGTTCCTCATCATTTAAATATCCAAATTTTCAGACACCCACAGAATCTCTGCTCTCTGCCAACTTCCTCTCTTCACTCCTTCTCACACACTCTCTCTCTTTTCCTCTCTCTGTCTTCTTTCTTCTCATCTTTACACTTTCAATGTTTCTATATATATCTGTAAATATTTTCTATAGATACCTTTATTGTTTTAAATATCAATATATTTTTATTATCCTAATCTACCTTTTCTTATGTGGGTCCTGTTTCATCATGTTGAAAGGAACTAGTAGTAATATTTTTTAAGGTACGTAGAAAAATGACTGATTTATATGTATACAATTGGACAAAGGAGAAGGAAAAAAAGAGTGAAAGTGAGAATGACGAAAATGTGAGAAAGAGTTGGACATTCATTTTCATTCCTTCTTTTTATATGTTGCAACTTCCACAAAGACGTAGAATAATATATCTAATAGTACAACTCAAATTAACTACTTAATTGTATTGTTTTGTATTTAAAAATTCATAAAATGTTGGTAGTAGAAACAATAGATAAGAACGATTTCAGGAGCGTTTTGAAGGCAAAGAGGACTAGCTAGAAAGGTGATTTTCGTGTTTCGTCTTGAAATATCTGTTTCTGTTAATTTTTCGTCAGTTAATAATAAATATACGGAAACATAATTGAAGAAACTCTTCGTCTAGAACATGAGAGAAACGATTTTAGTGGGTTGAGTAAATGTGTGAGTTCTGCCTATAGCGATAAAGCCTAATCGCTAGTGCTAATCTGTTCACAATAAATTTGCATTTAGCATAAATTCCAGCTGAACTTCAACTCAGTCGATATTTGAATCACTTTCAAGCGTTACAAACAGGCATAATTTGCATTTCAATTGACTACTTTTTATTGTAGAATGGTTTAAAGTGAAATTTCGCCATATTGCCAGCCTGTCTGATGAGCAAGGCACTTAATTCACTCTGAAAGCGTACTCAACTATTTAAACAGTCGTCTTCCGGCAATTCTGGCTTATTGCACGCAGCTGTCTCCCGAGTGAAGCCTAGGGTTTGGCATTCCGCCAGCGTCAGCTTAAATCATTGAACAGCCATACATTTGCCCGTGTAAGATTAACGCACTCTCTCGGCTAAAGAGTATCTCCTACGATTGGAATCACCGAACAAACTACACTGACAGGCAAGAAATTCCACCCATTTGATTTTTTTTTTTTTAATCGATAACAGAAAATTCTGCCCTTAATTTGTCTCATTCCTTTTACCGATAAATATTTGTTTATGCTATGTTTTAAATTGGGAATATCAACTAGACATAAACACTCTTAACCCTTAATCCAAAACCAAGGATTTTTCAATGTTTACTTTTTACGGTATTTAAAATGCTTATTCAGTCTCATTTGAATTCTGAAGTAATAAACTGTTTAGTTTTCATCTTTGTTTTCTTAATTTCAATTTATAACTTAAAAATGCCACTTAGTCCTGAGGATGATGTGCGTGGTGTGGCACTTCTTGATGATGAACGTTCCATCAGGTATGCGGGCTATTGCCTTCGGAGTTCCCTACGAAACACTACAAGATGCCGTTAGACGTTTTCGAGAAACTGGGTCCTACCATAGATGGCCCGGTTCTGGACACCCTAGGGTAACAGAACTACAGGATGACCGTTTTTTGACTTTGAGAATTTTGCGAAACCGGCACCTTACTGTTGTTCAACCGATTCATCAGCTCCAGGAAGTTCGAGATGTCGAAATTTCTGAACGCACTGCTCAAAGAAGATTAAATCTATGTAGGCTGATCGCTTTTCGCACCGTATGAGGACCAGAAATGCACGGCTCGCATTTGCTCGAGAACAGCCATTGGTCTTTGGACGATCGGTCCGCTTTTTACAGATGAGCGTGAAAGAGTGTGAAGAAGGCGAACTGAAAGGTACGAAGCCGGGAATTTTTCACAGAGCCAACCTTTTCAGTAGCTCAATGATAGTATGGGCGGTAATTTCAACAGAGAGTCGCACAAGGTTGATTGTTGTTCGTAGAGGGTCTTTGACGGCCACGCGCTAGGTGAATGATATTTTGGAACATCATGCGTTGCCTATACTCGATGAAATTAACGGCAATCCTATTCTAATGCACGATAATGCCCGTCCACCTGTCGCTCACATATTACAAACGTACCTTCAACAGCGTACCATCAAGGCCTTAGCCTGGCATACAGTCTTGAATCCCATCGAACATTTAGGGGCTAACCTCAAAGGACGATTAAGAGCAGGTCCATCACTTCCTTTTACACGGCATGATCTTG